TCGGATATGTAGCCGCCGTGGACGAGGCTTGCAGCCAGCTGCCAAACAGCTTGTTTCCATGGTGTAACAGGGTGCTTAAAAATTGCAACCAAGCTTGAGGCAAGCTTTCTCACAACCATTGCTTGTTCACCATTGGTTACCAAAGCAACAAAGCGATTGATCAGGTGCTGCATGATCTCCGTGGCTGAATTTTCGTTTATTTCATTCCTAATGGTACCTGAAATCAGCAATAATTCGTCACGTAAGAACGAGGCTGAAATGGTGCGGATCGGAGAGATTGACCGTACCATGAGACATTGATCTTCACTGTGAATGTAAGGGCCCCCATAAAACGATGATGGGCAGAGTGTTCACTTTGCAGAAGTGAATCAGCAATTGCCCATGCATTCTCGGTCTTCTGAAGTTGTTGGAGGCGCGTCTGGATCTCATTAATTCTGGTGGGGTCCCGTTGGTTTGCTGGGTTATAGAGCTCGGTGACCAGCTGGTTCCTTGTTAGCCGTTGGATCTCAAAGATGAACATAGCGCACATACTATATGGGCTTCCGAGATTGACTCTCTGGTCCCGAGACCCTCGTCAGACATCCACGTTGCCATTTTGTCTCAGCAAGCGCGTGGTTAGGAAAAGAAAAAGAGAAGTGCACGTATACAAGCACGGGGGGCTATGACGGGCAGAAAGTAGTGTTTGCATCACTTAGCCAATCAACATCAAGGCGGTTTGTAGAGCGGTGACTGCGGGGGCTTGTCTGGTTTCTAGGCACGTGACCTCTTGTTGAGCTCGTAGTTGCATTCAATAGACTTAAATGCTCGGCCCGGCGAGCTCGGTTTTGCCAGGCAGTATATTTGTAAGCATGCCAAGCCATATGAATTTTAATTCAATTTAATCGATTAACCAAACACGGCATAGTCACCTGATCATTTCTTTGTACGATTGACTGTATGGGCACTAGTAGTCCAATATAGGTATTGATAGGCGTTGGAGTAGCTGGAGAGCTAGACTGGGGGCGCTCCAGCTCCCTAAGCATAGGGGTATGAAGCCTAGTCGGGAGCCGAAGCAAGTGGTCTCTCGGGGGATAGATTGTCGTAGGGGCCTATTTAGAATTTAATGCTATCAAGCGTAACTAGAATACTAGATATATACTGATAGATACTGAGGTATAAAAATATAGTTGTAAATAGTAGTACTACAGTAGTATTTATGAAGCTTTAGAGATCTCTACACTTTACTTCATAGTGAGAATAAATTACATGTAATAAAAAAAGGGATCTATAGTAACTATGTAGGTTTAACTAGCGGTTAATGTATTACGTATTTTATATCAATATTTCTTCAAATGTTGGCATCTCAATTAATTGACCAAATGCTCGGAATATGTATTTGTAGAATCAAGATGCCAAGAAATATCTAGTGGATACTCGAATTCTTTTCCGCCTAATACATAAAAATCCACTAAACTACTCCGTATATTAGGTGGGAAGCTCGCCGGGCCGGTCATTTTGTCTCAGCTGAACATGTCTACGGAGTAATGTATACACTGACAGAGCACCGACATCCTAATTAAATCCCCAGCCACTAAAGAAATCTGGCCATATTGTCTATTAACTAAAAATTGTTAAGTGGTCATGAGTCAAAATTGCCATTAGGGTTATAGATGCTGAACCACTTGCCTCTCCTACAAGTGATCTAGTTATAACAAGGTTATTTAATAATATGCGCTAACATTACAGGATCAATTTCCAAGAATGAGAAGAAAAATTGAAATGAACAATATGATTGTATGATTGTATACAATCGTCCTCAAACGTCCTTAGTAAATATTTAGTGCAAACATGACAACACAAAGTGGGCCGTGAGTAGCCGTGACTCCAGAATCACCCTATGGCGAAAAGCCTCTCCACCAGTAAAGGTCGCTTGTACGGAATACCGCCGGCAAAATCAGCTTATCGTACACTTATCACTTTCAATCCCTGCGACGTTCGCTTAACTTCTCACAAGCTAACACGTTGAGGCGGTTGAAATCTACTCCGGACCGCCCATGCTCCTCTCCCGTCCAAATCGCCTTTGGACATCTTTGCGATCGCTAAGGCCTCTCTCCCGTCCAAGATATCTCTCAGTTTCTGGTCCACGCTACACAGTAGATATGGAGGCCGTGAATACCTCTGAACGGCTGTCAAAGCTGAGGCAGTTGATGCAGCAGCACAAGGTCGATGTTTACAGTATGACATCATCTCTGTGTCCCCGTGGGTTGTTCAAAACTCGAGTTGTACTGACTAGCTTCGCATAGTTGTGCCCTCAGAAGATAGCCACCAGTCCGAGTATATTGCGCCATGTGATGCCCGCAGAGGTCAAATCGCCCCCCTTCCTTTGGTGTGCCAGCGCCCACAACTAACATTTCCATAGAATTTATTTCGGGATTCTCTGGCTCCGCCGGTACTGCAATCATTTCCTTGAGCAAAGCTGCACTTTCCACCGATGGAAGGTACTTCAATCAAGCTGCGAAAGAATTAGACAACAACTGGCAGCTCTTGAAGGGTGGAGTTGAGGGTGTGCCCACATGGCAAGAATGGTATGAGATGACAGTTATATGGAGTAATCTGTACGTGAATTGATCTTGTTAATAGGACCACGGAGGAGGCCCAAGGAGGCAAGGCTGTGGGTGTTGATCCCTCTCTGATCACAGCGTGTGAGTGTTGTTATATCGGATGTGGAAGTACACAGTGGCACTAATCTTCAATAGCTGGTGCACGGAAGTTGGCAGAGACCCTTAAAAAGAACGGTTCATCTCTCGTAGAGGTCCGGGAGAACTTGGTCGATTTGGTTTGGGGCAAGGAACGCCCTGCCCGCCCCAGCGAGAAAGTGCGCGTTCACCCCGAGAAGTATGCTGGCAAGGCGTTCCAAGAGAAGGTGGCCGAGCTCCGGAAGGAACTTGAGTCAAAGAAGAAGGCTGGATTTATAATCTGTAGGACCGTCTCGCATATATCCCAGCCCTGCAGAGTGACTAATTTATTGCAGCTATGCTTGATGAGATTGCTTGGCTATTCAACCTGAGAGGAACCGAGTAAGAATAATATCTTTACCATGATGCATCATTGGCAATTGACTGATCATGAGCAGTATTCCCTACAACCCCGTGTTTTTCTCATATGCCGTCATTACGCCCACCACCGCTGAGATCTACATCGAGGATGACAAGCTGACACCAGAGGTCAAGGCTCACTTTGGACAGGACGTTATTGTCAAGCCCTACGAGTCCATCTTTGCTGACGCTCAAGCCCTGAGCACCAAAGCCCAGTCTGCGGGTGAGAATGCTGCCAAGTTTTTATTATCGAACAAGGCTTCTTGGGCTCTTAGCCTTAGCCTTGGTGGCGAGGGACAGGTCGAAGAGACGCGCAGCCCGGTCACGGATGCGAAGGCTGTTAAGAATGAAGTCGAACTAGAAGGAATGCGGGCTTGCCATATCCGCGATGGCGCTGCGCTGACCGAGTACTTCGCTTGGCTTGAAAACGAACTCGTCAACAAGAAGACTGTTTTGGACGAAGTCGATGGAGCTGACAAGTTGGAACAGATCCGTTCTAAGCATGATCTGTTCGCTGGTCTTTCTTTCGATACCATTTCGTCAACTGGGCCCAACGGCGCCATCATTCACTATAGCCCTCAGAAAGGAAGCTGTTCTATTATCGATCCCAAGGCTATCTATCTCTGTGACTCTGGATGTCAATACTTCGATGGAACGACAGACACCACGAGAACATTCCACTTCGGTGTTCCCACTGAGTTCGAGAAGCGTGCTTTTACGTTGGTGCTGAAGGGAACTATTGCAATCGACATGGCGGTGTTCCCTAAGGGCACCAGTGGATTTGCAATTGACGTGTTGGCGCGCCAGCACTTGTGGAGGGAGGGCCTGGACTACCTTCACGGAACAGGCCATGGCGTTGGCTCCTATCTAGTGAGTAGTATCGCTGGTCAAACATCTTATAATTCACTAAACTCTGTTTAGAATGTCCACGAGGGTCCTATTGGCATCGGGACTCGGGTTCAATATACCGAGGTTCCCATTGCGGCCGGAAACGTTATCTCGGATGGTTTGTCGCTCCTCCTCTATTTTTTGCAATCGGAAACTAATTTCTGACATAGAACCTGGATACTACGAGGATGGCAAATTTGGTATTCGAATTGAGAGTGAGTTGTGCTGCCCTGTGACTGCAATTGGAGTACTACTAACAAGTCTTTTTATAGACATTGTCATGGCTCGCGAAGTCAAAACCGCCCACAATTTCGGTGACAAGCAGTGGCTAGGCTTTGAGCATGTTACGATGACTCCTATTGGTCGCAACCTGATCGAGCCGTCGCTTTTGAGCGACGCCGAGATTAAGTGGGTGAATGACTACCACGCTGAGATCTGGGCGAAAACCCATCATTTCTTCCTGGAAGATGATCTGACACGCTCGTGGCTCGAGCGTGAGACCCAGCCCATCTCCAAATAAGTGGCACGCGGCGTTGATGGGCCCTGGTCTGATCAACCCACTCCCACTACTATTGATTCGATGGCATTATGTAGAGTACAGCCTAGAATATATACCGTTTCAATGCTGTATCTAGACATGGTAATTAAGAGTAGACCAAGATACCAAATCTTTAGTAACAATAAATGAAGTGGTTCAGTGAATGATGTAAGTAGTTCAGGTCTAACTGTGTAACCTTTCGAGTCTCATAGTAGACTGACAACTGGCCAATGGCGCAGAATGCGGGAAGCTCTGGTGGAGCCTGACTCTCCGCCCCGGCCTGTTTCAACACTATCACAACGGCATCAGTGAATTACTCCAGCGCTTCCTGTATTTCGCAGCCAAGAATGCTCGTAGCTCCTCGCCAATTGTTACGCGCAAGTCACAGGACCTAATACCGAACCTTTCTGGCTAACAGCCCCACGCCACCCCCTTGTCACAGCCCACCAACGTTCCCATACTGAACTAGGACGCTCCGTGATTAGCGGGCATAATTTGGAATGAGTGGCCAAAGCGGCTATGATAACGGGTACGGCTACTCCGGTCCCGGCCGGTACGATGGTAATGATGGGGGATACGGTGGAAACAACAACCCTGGGGTAAATGGATACGGTGGACGAAGTACCGCACCACCAGGCGGAAGTGCACGATCAGATCGCCGCCCCGGAGGATACGGTGGTTTCTATGCCGACTCGCCCCAGCCGCCAGTTTTATCACCAGATCAATCTCCTCCGCTAAGCCAGTCGCCCGAGCGACGGCGCGATCGATCGAACCGGGACTGGCAGCAACCGTCTCCACAACCGCCTTCGCATCCTTCATCGCAATCGTCTGCGCATGCCTCCTCACACCCCTCCTCGCAATCTTCTTCCCATCCCTCTTCGCGGTCACGTACAAGAAACCAAGAACTGGACAAGAAGTACCCGGAAGAACATGCAAATCGGTACGCGGACAACAGGGACCAAAGGGACCCGGGAGAATATAGGAGCCAGAGGAATGCTTCGCCTGTTGTCCAGAGGAGCAATAACTCAGGGGAGTCGCAGGCCATCGAAAGTATGTCTTTGTCTTTTGCTTAACCTGCCCCAATAGCTAATTTGGTCACATCGTACAGCTATTCTCCAGTCTATTCAACGTGACTGGGATTTCATGACCGATGCCGAGTGTATCCCGGTGCAAGTTGCTTTGAGTTTGATGGATACGAGTACATTGGGCAAAGCGGATCGCGAACCAGACTTTTTGCACATGTACAATGACATCCAGAAGACATTAAAGGCAATTGTGAATGGTAGGTCCTCTCTGTAGTGGTTAGGGCAGGCATATGCTAAAATTACACGTCATAGAACATCATCAGGGATTCAACAGTTCTATTGGAACATACCACAAAATCCAATCCAATATATCTTCCTCGCAAACTCGAGTACGCAGCCTGAGACATGCCTTGGATCAGGCCAAATCTGGGTTAATATCAACCAAGCCCGAGTTGAAAGGGCTAGCCACGTCTTCTCAGAACTACGATGATATCGTACAGCTGTTCACTCAGATTGAGGAAATTCAATCCCTTCCCGAGAAATTGGAATCTCAAATTTCAGATAAGCGTTTCCTTGCAGCTGTGGATGTGCTTCACACTGGTCTCCGAGTTCTACGGCGTTCGGAGCTGGAGGACATCAGTGCTTTATCCGATATTCGCGCATATTTCATAAACCAGGAAACATCGCTCACAGACATCCTGATCGAGGAGTTGCACGACCATTTATATCTTAAATCACCGTATTGCTCAGACCGATGGAAGCCACCCGCATCTGATGAAAAAGAGGTGCATTCATCTAATTGGGCCGGTAGTCGCTCTTGGGATCGGCCTGTGTATAGTTTCCTGGCCAAGTTCGATCCGTTGACGCCTATGGTTGAAGACGCTTCCCGGAATCCGGAGGCCGACACGTTTTCCTACATTCAGTTACTCATCGAAGCGCTGAACAAGATGGGCCATCTTGACATCGCGATCCATAGAATTGAGCAGCGCCTTCCAGTCGAGCTGTTTGTTGTAGTGGATAAGACGAACGCAGAGGTTGATACTCGCTATCCTGCACCAACCAAGAGCTTCTCGGCCCAAGACAACTACAAACAGTCCAGTCTTCCCACTGAGATTATTGAAAAACGGGGCCATGTGCTTTCTGAGTTTTTGTGGGCACTATATGCCAAGTTTGAGGCAATTGCGGAAGGCCACCGAATTCTTCACGATGTTGTTGCGGCCATTGTAGAACGAGAAGGTATAACTAAAAGCGAGACGCTTTCTGGCGGATTCAAGGAATTGTGGAAACTTCTACAAAGCGAGGTAAGACGCTAGCAGCCTTGACTGACATCGCGATTGTTAATCTGTTATGCCAGATACGATCTCTCATGCACGACTATCTTGCAACCGATGGGGACTCTTCTGTTCGATCTAGAGCAGAGGAGACTGACTCTCGACGTCATCATCTATACACAGGCAATCGTGATAAGAATAAGGTAAGGAGACGAGTAATTTTTATTATTTTCAAGCAGCTAACGCTTTACGGCGTAGAAAATGTTCAAATTGTCCGATATTGAGCAAGATTCTGAGATGAAGGCTGAACAAGACGAACTGGATGAAATCCTCAAGTCTTCAGTCCCGGGACTTGTTTCCAAGTCAAGGCAAAAGACGGCAACAAATGGTACTGCGCAATCCAACAAGGGCAACTCAGGGACCGGGCATAAGATTTTGCTTGAACCAAGTGTGTTCAATATGGGAATCCTTCTTCCTCCCTCTCTATCGTTCATCCAGCGACTCAAGGATATCGTTCCTGTTGATGCAGATATTCCCATGGGCACATTGACCTCCTTTTTGGATGACTTCATGGTCAATGTCTTCCTGCCCCAGTTGGATGAAACAGTGACGGATCTCTGCACGCTCAGCTTCATTGCCGCAGATGCATTTACAGAAGACCCTCAATGGGCCAAGTCCTCTCCTCGACCTATCTTCAAGGGAACGATCAAATTCATGTCCATTGTCCGGGAATTTAGCAAAATGCTGTCAAGTATTCCACACGATCAAGCATTTACGCAGCTTCTTATTGATCAGATCGGGACCTATTATGACAAGTGCTGTGGGTGGTATAAATCAATGGTCACAAAAGTCTCTGCACGGAACCGTGGAGGCGAAGTCCGACTGAAAGCTGCGGCTTCCTTTGCCGATTCAGGCGACATCTATGATGTTGTCGATGAACTGTGGAAAGGTGCTGGGGATAAGAAACAGACCCTGATTGACACGGAAATCGACCTTCTTCTTAAACGAACAGGGCAAGTACCTTTGGAGCCTTACGACATCATATCTGACCCTAAAACTGTGGTTTACCTTTCGCTCTTGTACAACAGCATGCAATGGCTTGCAAGTCACCTCGCGAGAATTCGGCTTGTGATTGAACCTACCGCGGATAACGAGTCCAATTTGACTGCAACTGGCCGACCGTCTCGCAGATGGACTCTGTTCGGGTCCATGAAGCCTAATCGCGACAGCATCAATAACCCGGTGCACTTGCCACTCAATCACGAGACTGCCGTAGCCTTTGATGGGACAATCCAATCATTACACCGGCTTGCGACTACTGCAATTATGACGTTGCATATTGACATCCGGTGTGGTATCATCCACATGTTGACTAGAACAATGGCCGGGCCGAATCCTCCTAACTTGCGGAACTCTGAACCCGTCACTCCATCCCCAAACACAACAGACAACTGGTGGCACATCATCATGAATCAACCAACCGCTGCATCGCCCACAATTCTCGCACTCAACAATGATCTTATCGCATTTGACACCAACATTTCGACTTATCTGGGATCTGTAGAGCGCTGGTTCATCACATCGGGTCTGGCACGGTTTATCGATCGGGTCTTTGTCGCCTGCACCCAGTATATTGGGGCCATGAATGAGAATGGAGCGCTGCGACTGCAGCTTGATGTGCTTGTTCTGCAACAGAATTTGAAGAACATCATCATCAATCCAGCTAGTGATCCGTCGAATTCGGCTACAGAGATACATGCGCAGGCTTCTCAGGAAACCGTTGCCCTACCACGCAGCGCAAAATTCCTGGACTGGTTCCTAGAAGGTGCCGAGAAAGCCCTGGAATACGCCAAGGAAGAGAAGGAGGCTTTTGCATCACAAGGTGATAAAGCCTTGGCTGCTGGAAATGGTGAGCCATTTACCTACGATGAGCTACGTGTTCTCGTAGAACTATGCTTCTCTGAAATTCTCCGTGGTCCACGCGGGACGGAGAGTCGAGAGGACTTTATGTCGGCGAAAAAGGCTAGTGCGGATGCACTACTGGGACTTAATGAAATTATGTGGGATGCTCGATAGACCTGTTCTTCGATTCGCTTCCTTTATCTCGAAATTCCACTTAACAGCCTAGAACAGAATCTCATTTTACCTTGACTCACTGTCATTTCCTCTTTTTTTCCCTCTTTAATTTAAACAACCCCCACTAGCCTAACATGGGTTAGTATAATGGGTCAACGACCGTTTTCGGCTTCTCCGGAGGATTCACACTGGTTAATGATCCACGCCATTGTTTCACCTTTGGTGTGTAGTTCTTACCTATGAAATGATCAATTTACTAATTTACTAGTTCATCAAGCCATACGGAGTTCAAAGGAACTATATGCATGGATCTTTTATATGGGCGCCTAGACTTTATATATCACCTATCCCATCCTTTTTTTCTCTCCTTTCATACCTTCTTTTGCTCTCTTTGCACTAACTTCCTGTCTGGAACAGTAATCTTTTCGAATCTGGCATTCGTTATCCAGACGTCCATTCTTTTACAGTGCACCTGCACGTCCGATCATTTTTAGTCAATCTGTGACTTACATTCATTCATTCAATCTTCAATACCTTGTCTTCCAGACTTCATTATTTACTTCCATCTAAAAATCCAACAATGAAGTATCTTCGCCTAGCCTCCGTGGCGGCTCTTCTCAGCGCTGCTACTGTCTCCGCTGGTCCATTGGGCACCCGTGAAGATGACGGATACTGTCCCAAGGGCTACACCATGAGTGTCTACTACAAGACCATCTATGCAACTGCGACCCCTGTATCATCTACAGCTATCGCGTCGTCTACTCCGGTTACTGTCTCGTCCTCAACTGAGCCCGCAGTGGTCGCATCGTCTACTTCCATTGCCGTGGAGTCTACGACTTCCGTCGTAGTTGTCCCAATCGAGACCTCGACCACTTCGGCCGCTGCTGTCGAGACCGAAGAAGTGAAGGCTGCTCCAGTTGTGGTTATTCCTACCACTACATCAGCTACGACTGCCGCCGCCGTCCAAACTACTGCTGCCCCAGTCGTGAAGGCTCCCGTTGAGGAAGCCCCTGTTGAGAAGGCTCCCGTCGAGAAGGCCCCCGTCGAGAAGGCCCCCGTCCAGCAAACCACCACTAAAGCTACCGTCGAAGCTCCTAGCACTTCTACCACCTCTTCTTCCTCCTCTTCCACCAAATCTGCCTCCACCGGTTCCTCCAACGGAAGCCCTGGCAAAGCTACTTTCTACGGTGGCAATGTTGGCGGCGGCACTTGCTCGTTCTCCGGCTACACCCTCCCGAGCCACCTCTTCGGCACAGCTCTGTCCCTCCAGCGATGGGATGACGCAGCGAACTGCGGTGCCTGTGTATCCGTCACCGGACCCAATGGTAACTCCATCAAGGCAATGGTAAGTCAAGCTTCTTATCCCCTCTCTTCCATCCCAAACCAACTCTAACTCAACCCAGGTCGTCGATCAATGCCCCGAATGCGAAAGCAACCACCTCGACCTCTTCCAAGATGCCTTCGCCGAGCTCTCAGATATCTCCGCCGGCATCATCCAGACCACCTGGTCGTATGTTTCCTGCGATCTGGATGGACCTCTGAAGCTCAAGAACAAGGAGGGCACATCCGCCTACTGGTTCTCGATGCAGGTTGTCAATGCCAACGAGCCTGTGACTTCGTTGGAGGTTAGCACTGATGGCGGTAACACATGGCAGGGAACCACACGCCAGTACTATAACTTCTTTGAGAACTCTGCTGGATTCGGTACTAGCACTGTTGATGTGCGTATTACCGGTGCTAGTGGCAACACTGTTGTTGTCAATAACGTCGGTGTTGGGTCCGGCAGTGAGGTTACTGCTAAGTCCAACCTGTAAATTTGCTGTTGAGTGGAGAAACTTTATATTTATTTTCTTCTGTTGATAATATTTATCGAGGTGGTTTGGTGAGGGGATTCCTGTGTTGCAGGTTATTTAGTCCATTGCAACTAATCTATAGCAATGTCGATTTACAAGGTCACACACACACTCTCTCTTTGAAACGAATAGCTCATTTACTCTCTATCATAATCTCGTACTCGGGTGGTAGAATCTCAATTGTATACTTCACAACCTAAATAGAGCTATGATGCAACACGGTAATTTGTCCTCCTGCTATGTATGCTGTCGGCAAAATCTCACATATGACAGACAATTATTGTATCTTCACTTCACTATCAGCCTCAACATTCTCCACATGCGGGTGTTCGGCCAGACTTTGAACCGAATCATCGGGGAAAGAAACACTATGAACATCAAGGCCGAGAATTAGCCATCCCTCACCAGAAGAAGACCGATAGAGTGTCAAAACAACTCACGCAAAGCCCTTGATCAACGAGTACTCGTGTCCAATCTTGCCGCCTTGCTCTTTAGCATGATCCTTGACGCTAAATTGCATCCATATATCAGCATAGTGTATCTCAAATATTAGCGTGAGATGCATACGCCTGAACTTGGTCGTCGGTAGCGTCTGGCTTGCACGTGATCTAAGAGGGTTAGCAAGATGTGTATGTTCTGAAAGTGTTAATTACTCACAACGTAGGAAGGCATGTTCGAATGATAGAAATGTAGTTGTAAAGAAAATAAGAGAAATTAGATCGGATTAAGTAGAAAAGATGTCCAGGTGGATTCCAACGTTGACATCATAGAGGGGTAGCCTCATAAGCTGATCAAGGCTGTGTTATCTCCCGCTAGTCCGACTGCTTGACCTCAGTGGCTTATTACATCGTATCAGTTTATTATAATGAAACTTCCATGACGCCTTAGATACACAGTACTAGCTCCCTTTCAGGGTTGCCTGCATGTAGTTGGTTACTATCTTACTGAGGTACATCTTTGTACAGCCACCTGCTTAAGCCCAACCTGGGGGAAATATCACATCAGCTATTTAGTCTAGACCTCCCTACGTCGATGAAACAAGAAATATTGCGAATATCCGATCTACGGCATCCGCTTATGTTGTATATTGACTTAGTAAAGCTCGACGCTTGGGTGTACAACATACGATTTCTACAGAGTGAGTCTAAGGAGAGATATAATAAAGCAGTTCGAAAAAAGAGACTTTCAACCCGCAGCTCCATTCAAAGGCAAACCCATCCCAGCCGTAGATTCGCCAGCACACCATCCATTAATGATGAAAGGGAATAAAAAAGAAAACAAAACCCGAGTAGCGTACAAAGACCGTAAATGTGTGAGCAGAGAATGATCAAAGAGGGTAAGCAACAGAAGAGAAAATTGCGCAAATAAGTCGCAAGGGTACCTAATGGGAAATGTAACACTCAGAATGCCAGGTGCAGACCGCATTGCGAGGAAACAGAGGTAATGAGAAGTTCATGGTGAGGTTACATCGATTGGAGGAAACATAATAGTAAGAGAAAAGATCTGTTAACAGCGGCATAGCAGATTCGAAAAACAGAGAAATGAGGGTATGTTCAAGTCTTGACCTCCGGAACGCAACAAGTCGTAGCACATGCAGAAGAATAAGGACGATGAGCCTAATCCATCTCCAGTGACTCTAGCTCCTTTGACTCCTCGTAGTCATCAAAGTCCAGGCCGGCATCCCGGCAACGCGATAGCCACTTCAAGGCAATGTTGTTGCGCCGGGCAACCTCGTTTTTGAGCTTGGAGTTCGAGCCGCTGATCTCGGCAATAGCATGATTAGCAGTGAGACTGTGTTTCTCGAATTGCTCGTCGATGTTTTTCTTTTCTTCCTGGAGCTGCAGGATATATTCAATGGCACGCTGGAGGATCGCGCCCTTGTTCTTATCGCAGTTCGGTACAAGACGAGCAATCTGGTTGATACCTTCATTGATAGCTTCGCGGCGGCGACGTTCAACTAAGGGAACAAGTCAGTATGGAAACAGGAATTCGATCTGAAAAGGTATTCTTACCCTCTTTATGGTTGTTCTTGCGAATTTGGTGCCATTCGGGAGAACCAACTGTAGGCTTCTGGTTCATACTCTGAGCCTCGCGCGCGGCATAGACCGCAGCGGCAGTTGAATTGTGGTTGTGGCCACCACCCATGGGAGTCTGGTTCATCTCATCGGCAAAGGACAACCCCTGGGTAAGATTGCTTGCATCGAAACCAGAATCGGGAGGAGGAGGGTACTTGTGTTGAGGAGTATGTGCAGCCAAGGCGGCTTTGGCATTGGCGGTCAATGCATTATCGTCGGACAGGCCATTCTGCGGACCAACATGCTGGAGAATTTGTTGATCAATGTTGAGTTCAGCCCCAGTGTTAGGGAGCCCGTGGTCGTAGTTGCTGAGCCCTCCATGGCCAAAGTTGTGATGGTTATCCATGCTGCCGTTGCTTCCGTGGGAAGAGCGGTTAAGACGCTGCGGGTCGGGACCTAGATCCTCAGAGCCCTCTCTCTTACGCTTGTGTGCGCTGTTATCAGGGCTATTCATGGTAGGATCAGACATGCTGAGCCCTGAAGCTGATCGTCCTATTCGTGGTCGTGGTTAGTCATGCAGCCAATACGTGAATAGTGAAGTGAAACAAGTCTCAAAGAATAAGAGAACAATATGATCGGAGACATCAATGCAGCCTGCGGTAAGTTGGTGCCTGGCAGATCAAGTCCCTCTCGGGAAGATCAGTGGGCACCCCGCATAGTAAATAGACGCGTGCATTCGACGCGCTCGTAAGGCACCCCAGGAATACCGGTCACATCGGACTCGTCCACCACCAGTAGAATTCTTCTGGCGGGTGGCAGTGAGTGGGGGTAGTTCTACGACAGGGCAGTGAAGTTGTCAAGCGATCGCATATAATGCGACGACTTGAAACATCGGGGTTGGAGACATCAGGAACGCGTCATGGTGGCTCGCAGGAAGCTGAGGTCACACAGGGGGGCACCGTTGTGAAGGGCACCACTTGCGATGAGCATCACAACGCGATGTGCAATGACATGGGGGAATCTGGATGAAGATGGGGTATTGATGGAGCCGTACCTTGGGATGATCTCTCTTTATCACCTGACAGGAAGTCACCTGCCCGACAACAACAAGACGCAGGTCACGTTGTCTGCGAAACCCCGAATTCGAAATTGGGACGCGAAAATGGGAAAGTTGAAAATTTGATGAAGCCGATAACGAGATATGCAAACGACTTAGCAATATACCTTGCGGTAAATTTAGAAATAAGAAAACGCGTTTCTTTAGGAAGATGTAGAGCAGCGGACAAGTCAAGATGGATTGCTCACGTGGCAAGGAGGTGGTCAAGAGGAGGAGTCGCGCTGAATCCGGCTGTTCAGAACGACCAATAGCGCAATAAATCACCTGATATTGCCTATTCAAAAACTTACATTGACGTAATCATACCGCATACCGCCTGGAAACCCTAGAGGTCTAGACAATTTTGCAAACACGACCAAAAAGAAACCGACAGGAGCTGAAGATAACCAACTAAATTGCTTGAATAGATTTTACGCCTCAATCTCTCATCGGAAGTCATGTGCAGTCATCCCGTGCCCCTCTGCTGCACACCTATTTCTTGGGTTTCTAATTGGCTGGCGGCTCTCGGAGGGGAAATTCCTAGATCACGTGAAAGGGTATCTTAGGGGCCAATCATGAGCTCTATTCACCCACTACGAGGAGGGGGTCGGACCGTCGGATACAAAGGAACTTCATAATTCTACACAATTAGCAAGTATATGGGCGTAGTCTAGACACACTAGAAGCCTACTAACCATATGGAATATACCCGGTATTGATCCGATGCGATGTCCGTCCTTGTTTCCTGCAAGTGATTAGGCTAGATCCACTAGTGTACTTACGGAATACCCCCTTCAACTGAATCAGGAAATACAGCAGGGGAATATCCCAGAAGAGTGGTAGCGATGGAAAACAAAGTCTTGCATTATCTAGCGGGTGTCCTGGTCTAGATCATGATATAACATGAGTTCTTCTTACAATGCACCCAGCGTACAGGATACAGTGTTTCTAGTGCTCAGCGGTTTACTTCTGATCCTTCATTGGGGTGGGGGAGAGGTGAATCACATGTTTCAGACTCAATATCCTGGAATAGGATTCCCCAAGCCCTTCACACCATTATCTCTCCAAAGGGTTGCATCGGATATCCAAAACGGTCTTCCCTGGTACTTTTCCCGCATATTGATGAACGTGAAGACGGAGCGATCATGAGACCTCAGGATTCCACCTCGAGGCGATATTAAGCTAAGTATCTGAGCTTTTGGCCTGAAGACTGCGACGATCTCGATGATCTTCTTCTATATGTCATCATGTTTGAGGCCCCCATCACATGGATTACCCGCACATGATGCGCCTGTGGCAATCAGTGGACTTTGGAGTTTCCATTATTGCAGGGAAGATCGTCATAACAATGGGAAATATACATAGTCTAGTGTGTATATTCTGGGATTGGGAGGTATCACAGAGACTCGGGTGATCGAGATGCCATTTCTAATGTCATGTAGCAAGGGTGGACCCTTGATCTGTTTATAGACTCTTTCATTATCTGTGGAATAGTCTGACGCGTCCAGTGCGCCCCCTCACTCAGACGCCTTTTTCAGTGCAAATACCATTTGTGGATCTGCTGTAGTATCCGCAAAACAAATACCTTCCTCTGCGGCGCCTAACATATCCCAGCAAAGTATCTTGACGTCAAATGGGATTCCCGCATCCTCTGTCCCACTTTCCCCATCAGGGGTGTGCCCACCTGACCCTGCATCCTTCTCCGCAGCATAGAGAGAGGGCCGTTGCGTCACAGCAATGATAGTGCTTGTCCCCGCATATCGCGCCGGTGGCTTGGTATCATCTGCAGGTGGCTCCTCGCCCGACCGATTAGAAAAGACAATGACGATCTTCTTCGGAGAATCTGCCACCTTCCCGCCGTCAAGATTCACCTCGTGGTTCATTCTCTTTTGCAACAGGGGCCAGAACCGTTGAAGCCAATAGTTGAAAGTATCCATCTCAGGCTTATCCTTCAAGGCATCGAGGTCTTCCCGGCTCAGAGTGGTCAACCAGGCCATGGACAGAATTACAAGCTGGGACTTGGAGTCAAGGACTCGAGTTGCAAACTCCCATTTGTCGAATGGCGCCTCAAATTTGTACGGATTAATATCCATACAGATACCAAGCGAAGTCGCGACCCGCTTTTTCTCGGATAGAACCTGCTCACCCTGGTGCACCGGATTTGTCAAGGAAGATAGGTTGCCTTCAGTGGCAAATTCAAGCTCATGGAAGCCTCGCTCAACTTGACCTTCAGCCGCCCACGTCTCGTCGGTGTAATACAAAAAGCTTTTGCGGTAGTTGAGGATGAACTCGCCGTTCTCATCAACAACAAGAAGTGAGTTGTAGTATGTGATTTTGTCGGAACTTTCAGAATCCTTCTCAATCTCCGGATATCCCACACAGACCTTGCATCCTAAGCGCTTGGCAGTCTCACGCGCCCACGAGGCAGAAGGACCGTCACCAACTGACTCGACATATGGCTTGATCGCTTCCAAAGAAGGGAAGTTATAACCTGGTCATTCATTAGCCAGTGAAGATTTCCCACAAATTGAGCCGAATTTTAGAGGCTCGGAGGAGACGGGGTTCATGCTGTTTAGTATACACTCGTGGACGTAGGTACGTACCTGTCATCGCCAACTCGGGCAACACCAAGATATCAGGCTTCAACAAATCAGCTCCAATCCCGAGCTCTTGTCCATCTATAGAAATAGTCTTGCCGGTCTTCAATAAAGCATTTGCTTTCTCAATATTGCCCTTGAGATCGCCCAACTTCGGCGCAAATTGAAGGGTTGCAATCCTCATCTTGTGAGACGACGAGCTTGAGAAGTTTCTGAAGCTAAGAAGCGACACACGTGTAACAGGGTGTTTCTTAGTGAACCGTAAAAGAGACGCGTCAGAAACCAATAGTGTTTTTGACGTGGTCGAGGTATGAAGTTCGTGTCTTCTGGTCCCAACACGGACACAGTGGGGCAGGATTTTTGCCAGAATTATGGCGGGCAGGTCTGAATCTTGAACTATGTCCCAATATAACCAAGAAGATTGTTTGTGTACTGTGATTTTTGAGTTTGAGACAGGAGCAATTACTTCAGGGTATGGTTGTAGTTTGGATGGAAGAGCAATGTTTTGGACCGCGGGTCATATGAAAGTTGATGCCTCAGGGGTGAATAGTTATCCGCCTTGATTTCTAGGTTTACCAACATAAGCAGTGTATTGTCCACGGATTTGAGCTGGAATTTTCATTTTCAAGACTACAAAGTAAATTCGAAGGCGGTAGGGGTGTATAGACTATGACAAGCATCAAGTGCATCGTACATCGCCATATTGAATTATGATTGGTGCAATTCTGTACGTACTTGATATTAGGAATATGAACTTACTTCGCTTGCTGGCTGGCTCTTGAGAGGACTTGTCCTTCAATGATGTTGATGTTGTCTATGATATATGGTCATCTAACATTGGCTCACCCAATATAGGTTTTACGCCTTCAGCTCCGCTTGCAATCAGGTAATGCCCATTTGGCCATCCAATCTGACATTAGAACCTCTTCAGCAGTCGGTCGCTCTTCTGGCCGGAATGATAACATCCGGCGCATCAAGTCCAGAAACGCAGTTTTCTCGTCTTCCGTAATCTCGCTTCCTATCTCCCGTCTCCATTTCTGCACACCGATCTCAAATGATTCCTCAAACGGAGGCCACTTATTTTCCATATAGCGCTTCGTTGGATTTCCATCCTCGTCAAAGAATCGGGGTCGTCCTTCCCAGCGCTGCCACCACTCCGATGGCATAGGTCCTAGTACATCGATATGCTGAGCCACTACCTCATCCTCGTGCACAAATTCAGTGCTAAAGATGGCTTTCATTCCGATAATCTCCCAGATTGCCGTAGCTAGACTCCAAATATCTGAGGGATATCCGAGCGGGACTTTAGATTCGAACTTGGCTTCTGGAGCCCGAAACGCGATTGGCGTATGGCAGTCTTTCCCAAGACGAGCTTTTGAAGCAGGGGAAAACGCCTCACCAAAGTCACTTAAAAGCGGGTGAGCGTCGGATAATGAGAAATTCTCTGCATATCTCCCCAGTAATAGTGGCACAACAGCTTTGGTTGGAGCATTAGGGGGTAATGGTTCTCCATCACATCGTGTGATAGGCACTGTCCCAGGCTCGCCGTATTTTTCATAAAATTGCTTGATAGAAAACCCATCGAAATTTGACGGGAGCTTGACTAAAATATTATTCAAATGAATATCTAAATCACCGGAGATATTATTTATTAGCTAATTGGTATCTGAATAGATACTCATGGTCATAACAAACCTCCATGGACGTAGCCTTGTGAATGTATATAAGCAACTGCCTGTGCGAGCCGATATGATAGTGCTCGAGCAACTTCAAGTGGGAAAAGACGGCTAAGGGAGACCTCTCTAAGGCTGCATTGTGCAGGAGGCACTGTGTAGCATGTGTGTTTTCCATTAGGACCTTGCACTTCGAATTCATCTAGAAAAACAGGTACTAAACCACGACCAGAATGTATCGGCAAAGACGACGGATGCGGAGCAGACAGAGCCTGAAGAACCTTCGTCTCATGTTGAATTGAGTCGGCTATGCTGACCTTGAGAGTGACATATCGGTTCATATGAGCATCGCGGGCAAGCCAAACCGTTGAATAGGCCCCAAAGCCAAGTTTGTCTGCAATATGATAACGGCCATGTAACACATCACCGATCATAATGGGATGATAACCCCCAGGCTGATATTCTTCAAGTGTCTCAACACCCTCGATCCAATTATACTCAACGCGCGTCCCAGCCTTTGTGGTACCCAGCCGCGCAAAAGTCACCGAGTCAGGCTGCCTACGCCATAGGGATCGGTAAACTAGGATTGAAGGTCGAGATGATGTCGAAAAGTGGACAGGGTTCGCCAATATTCTCGCGGAGCGTGCCATGGTATGATGGCGTGGTTGGTTGAAGAAGTAGCTTTGAATCGCCCTTGTAAGGGGGCCGTGAATTTTCGATGCAGCCCAAGTTGACTAGGATGATTGTACCATGTGATTTGTTGGCTACTAGGATGTGATCCCAAGAGCTTTGTAGGTCTAGGTAGTGGCGCTCTCATATAGCAGGACATACATGGATGTACGGATTACGATGGAGCGACACTGGACAACAGGTGTTATGATTGGCTGACCATACCAATTCACCGCCCCGCTCTCTGTCTCTTCTCCACTCCTTCTCGTTTACTATATAGTATGAATTTTATCTATGGTCCGATATAAGTGTGTAGGGAAAGTTTTAAATGATCTACATGAGGTTAGCATTGATGACAATCTACTTGATACCTAGTGAAGGATGTATATCTTTTTCAAGGGTATCGTTATATTGCTTACACTGATCTATAGAGCGATAATGATGGAAAGATGACGACAAGTGACTAGTATCTGTCACAATGATATGATAGTTCAAGAAGATTTACAGTCCAAGCATCTGGCATAAGATGTCTAGTCGAAGGCCACCGCAAATAGCACTTAACTATGTCATTTAGAGGTCGTATCCTTATCATCTACTAAATACACTACAAAGGCGCTGGGCTATCTAAAAACAAAAGTAAAGAAAAATTAGGCAAAGAAAAGATAAAAAGGATGACATGTATCTTCTGCAAGGTTGTTGACGGCAATAAGCTAAAATATAGGAAATTCAAGGCACTGCAACATTAAATGACAACTTTGATAGGCTGTCTTTGTTGATCATCCCGCAAACCTCCAACTACGGCTGGATTCAGAAGTAAGCATCTTGCCTCCACACTCGGATTGAAACTTGTTTTCACAAAATCGCGAAAAGTAAGCAGAATATTCCAAATTCCCCCTCGGGCAATGACGGTGCGCTCGTACGCCTCCTGGAGTGCATCGAACAAGATCCATTCAGTGCCTGCACCCGCATGGATATGTCCAAACACATGCAGTCTAGGCTTAAGTCTCCATATCCCCTGTAATAGGTGATCACAGCCTAGATTTAGCAAGTCAAGATGGCCACGTGGCGGACCATGAGTGATTAGCACATCAATCCCGCTAGGCACCGAGCCAGCCCATAGGTCTTGATTGCGAGGATACTGAAAGGCCCAGTTACCATTGCGTGTAGTAAGAGGACTTCCGTAGATTCTGAGCCGGCGACCATTTGCACAGGAAACGGTAGTCTCCTTGTTTTCCAGATAAATGATTTCACCCCAGTCAAGCTGGACCCGCTCAGCGATAGCCTGGGCCGAGTCATCACGCTTTGCGTCAAGTAGCAGATCGTGGTTACCGGCAACAACTATTTTAGTGGGATGCGGCTGAGCGTCTAACCAAGTGAGTGTTGTCTGGAGTTCCTTCGACGAGCCCGACTGTGTGAGATCACCAGCATGAATGAGAATACCTCCATCCGGAAGGCTGGGTTGACGGTTGTGAGTATCAGAGACGCAGATAATAGAAACAGGATTTGTAGGTGGTTGTCCGGGCATAGTTTTATGCCAAGCATACAGCTTCTGCGCGAGGAAGACGCAAGGCTGGGTCAGAAATTGTTGCCACGGTGTGGGTGGTTGTCGATCAAGGAGGTCACTGAGGCTGGACATGATTGCTTGGAGCCCACGTACGTAGGTATTTTTAATGGTCTAACTTTAGAACCTTCCAAGTTTGTTCAGTTGTGCAATATTTGCGTGTTTTGGTAGGTACGATATTCTGCGTAGACACCACTTATGCACATAATAACCATGTAGAATTTAATGTAACAATTGAAACATCCATGGTTGAACGAATAGTAGCTAAAGTTCCTCGGCTATGATCATGGCTGAAATTTGACGCTTCTGCGTTACTCTTTTAGTTCATCTGTTACAACCTGCCCCTGGACTGGCGAGTTACACACTAGGCCAAAAAGACCACTATATCTGAGCATTACGCTCAGATATTCCAGGCCCCGATATACATAGTGCGATATGACAATCTCCGCCTGTTTAACTAGCTAGAAAATTCAAAATTGCTGGAGACCCACGAGGCAGCCCGCGTTTAATTAACTAGTCTATTGAAAGTAATGACTTATATATATAGGGCACTGCGCCTAGCCATACACTTACCTAAAGCAGTTGAGTCTAAGAGTGTGTCGCAAGTCATACAGTGTGCCCGTAGTTGACATCACTTTTTATATCCACAGGTATCAAATTTTAGACAGATTCGTGAGATAATCCTCCGACAATAGCCTCAATAGCCAGCTCATGTTCAAAGTTCTCGAAGATATCCAAGGATGACATTGGGTCAAACATATTTGGATGGTACGGCTGATAAATTGGCTTTTGAGAGTCTGTTGAAGGGGTATTTTGGAAACCAACGGATGCACTTTCTTTTTTTGGCAGTTAGCTTATTATTAGACAAAATACAAAGAAGCTCTTCGCTTACCAGTGGTCATATGAGTAGAAAAGGCACGCAGCTCTGGATGTTGCTGTACGGCAGCATCAGTTTGAAAACTTGAGCCCTGATGAGCATCAAACTCCCGTAAAAGATGTTCTCCCAAGTCTGCCATGAGTGAAGCCAAATGGTAGGTTTCTCCGAGTTCTCTCAGAATATCGCAATTCGAGGCCACTTGCCTTCGAGCCCGTGATCGGAAAAATGACGTGTTGCTTTGCTGTAGACTGCGATACGACACTCGGAGAGACTGCGAGACTGCATATGGAACAATCGGAAATAGAGAAAGTTCATTGCGGAACTCATCGCCTACGATGGTTGTGACCCTCGAGGCTGAAAGGCTTTGGCGCATGTACGATGTCGAGGAACGAGAATGATCGTCAGGGACTATTGAGCGACAAGATAGTATGGCAACCGTATGATATAAAACTTCGATTGTTGCTGAATTGATTAGATTTGAAACTTGTACTACGGATGTTGGGGTGGACTTACCAATCAAATGCATCGGAATATTAGGTGCGTCAAGTTTCTGCAACACATCCTCGAACAAAGGAAATCCATCTTCCCATACAGCGTTTGATGAAGGTCGGTAAAGCTCAATTACTCGATCCATCAAGGTAATTGTGCGCAAAAAGAGCTGAAAACACCCTTCCTGGGTTGCAATGCATGAATGGAGATCACGACCGAAATCTCGGGCATGTATCTGCATAGGCCTTCCGTGAAATGCTGCATTGAGAATATCCAGAGCATATATACAGCAGAAGAGACGTATTGAGTTGGATTCAGATTTTGAATTCGACTGACCACGTAGGTGTAGGCCCATGGTATGCGCATGGGCGAGGGCACGAGAGAAAAACTCGGCGGATTCTTGTCGATCTCCGGAGAATTGTGTGAATAGTGAGACTAAAGCGAACACTTGAATGAGCACAGTCTTATCTTTCACCAGGCCTAGTGCTAATGATGTTCTTATTACTCCAAGGAGAGTCTGAGAAAACTCATTGCGGGATAAAAAGTCCATCTTAGGCAAGTGAAGATATTGTATCGAATTTGGGCTCACACTAGCAGCGAAACATATTGCCTGTGATAACAATGCCCATTCGGGGGAATCAGACGGCATAGTTTGATACCTTTCATGATCCAGTATTGGAAAAACGGGATGAATATGTTCAAGATAAATGTGAGTGAGGCCGGCCAAGTCATCTGGACTAGGAAGAACACCCAGACAATGATCCTCCAAGTGAGGCAAAAAGACCGAGGATATCAAAGGATCCGGGGAAGTGATAAATTGTGATCGTGGGCTCTTGACTGCAAGTCGGGAAAATCCGCCACTTCCTCTGGAGGATTTGCCAGAGAACCAGACACCAACATCATGTTGCCTGGCGGTTCCAGTACTCCCACTTGGACTTGCAGCTACCAGCAAGGTGCCTTCGGGATTTAAATCTCCAATGAATCGAGAGTTCCCCTCTAGTTCTGGATACGGGGATTGTTCTTTTCTGACTGCATCAGTGTTGTCGATGGGTGGTGTGGTTGTGTCGAAAACCTTGGAGCTTAACGACGACAGAGGTGTGATAGCAGCTGTTGAGGTGTGTGCAGGTGACATCATTTCGGGTTCTGATGGCTGTATAGGACTCTCCTGGTGGGTACAACGCCTCTTGCGTTTCCGACAATCTTGACATGCATGGTGAGTTTGTTTGCGCTTTTGAGGAAGACCACTAGCCCCGGTTGCGACAAATGTGAAGACCGGCCTCTTCTGCCGAAGACCTCGCATCTTGATACTTGTGGATCCTTGATCATGCAAAAGAATATCGGGTTTCAACACAGTTAGCACCTTTGACCGAAATTGTTTTGCCCGCCTACGGAAAAGTCATAGAAGGGTTACTCCGCGGCTGTCAGGTGCGGGAAGATCTCTTAATTAGGTCACTCCGCCCAAGCCAATGCGGGAAAATTACCTCTTTAGGCTAGTACTGCGTACATCTATTACAACAAGAGTTTCATAGGATATTTAAGAAGCAGCTTGCCTGCAGCAATTTGAAAGTATCATTATGTTTGCATTACTTCATCATTGAATTGGTAGCTGTAGAAGATGAAGCTCTCTAGTCGATCTTCCACAAGGGAACTGGTAACTCCCAAGGTTGCCACCGTATAGCGGTTTACCACGAGCAAGGCGAAGGTGACCATCTTTCCTAAATGAGCAACTCCGCCCAAGTCCCTATCCCGGGGACCCCACGGGGATATGGGGACAAATTCTCATAAATAGAGAATAAGCCGAATTTTTTTCCGAGCACCTGTGTATCTTTGAAGACCTCATAATGACAATCCTCAACATTGACCTAGATTGGCAGCGACACAAATGGCCACTCTTTTATTGTTTTGTTTCGCTCTTCGGGGCCTTCTGTTACGGCTATGACACCATCTATTACACTGGTATCCAGGGTATGGAACCTTTCATCCACGATTACGGGACCAAAGATCAAAATGGAACCTATGTCCTAGAAACTACCTTTTTATCTGTGACTGCGTCAGTGATCTACGCAGGTGAATTCTGTGGTGCCCTTATAACAGCCCCAATCAACGATGCATGGGGCCGCAAAGCAGTGTTTTACTCTGCTTCAATCTGCATCATTGCAGGCGCTCTTGTTCAACTATGCTCATTCGGGATATATGGCGCATTCTGTGCCGGCCGAGTTCTCATTGGGTTCGGAATTGGACAATTCACAGCCACTTGTTTGATCTATATCAATGAAATCGCCCCGGCTGAAATTCGTGGGCCTGCTCTCATGTCATTTCAATTCATGCAATCCATTTCCCAATTGGTCGGAGCATGCATTACACAAGGCACACAAAGCATCGACAGCCAGTCCTCGTATCTAATTCCAATGGGACTACTGATGGTGCTTCCGGGTATCATGATCATCCTCCTTCCATTCATCCCGGAGAGTCCTATATGGTGTGTTGCCAAAAGTCGACATGAAGCTGCCGAGGCAGCTCTGAGAAAGATCTATCGGATGGAAAATTACGATCCAGCGCAGGACCTACAACTTATCCAAGAACAAGTTGACAAGGAGCGCGCGATGGAATCCGAATCATCTTGGTCATCACTCTTCAAAGACCCAATCGAGCGGCGAAAGCTTCTCTATTCCTGCGGCGCAATGTTCGTGCAGCAGATCAACGGCATTCAATTCTGGTATACATACGGAGTTATATTCGCACAGTCAATCGGTGTCGGCGAGCCCTTCACCATCAACACCATCATATACGTTCTGCAAATCATCGCAGTCGGGATCTCAGTCGTACTCGGCAACAAAATTCGGCGTCGCACAAATTTGCTATTTTGCACTTGCGGGATGTTATTTTCTTTAGTTGCAGTTGGTGGACTTGGGACTACCCGTCAAGACGGGTCTTTCAAACAAAGCATTGGAATTGTGATTGTTGTCTTCGCATATATCAACATCGTCTTCTTCAACTTCTCCATTGGCACGTTGTCCTACACCATATCTTCTGAAATGGCAGTTGGCCGAAACCGAAACAAGATTACTGCATGTGCCATGGGTGTCTTCTTCTTCACCGTGTGGCTGATCACTTTTGTCTGTCCTTATATCTACTATTCGGCCAACTTGGGGCCCATGATGACTTTCATTTTTGGTGGAACCAGCTTTATTTGCTTGCTATACATCTGGTTCTGTGTCGGTGAAACAACGGGTCGTACAAACAACGACATTGGCCAGCTATTCAAAGAGAAAGTCCCAGTCCGCCAGTGGCAAAATCACGTCCTCGAGCAGGAATATGGTGCAGAAGATGATATAAAGACGTCGTCCGTTCAGGAGATTGAACACCCAGTCTAGGTGCTTGCTTTGTTCATAGCCAGCTTTTGAAAAATTAAATATACACCCTGATTCCATTTTCGAGTCTTTCTCATTACCACATACGGAGTGATACAGTGGCATAGACATATTTTCTTGAACCATTGGGTGTCCTTCTCCCCTTCTTAAGCTAGAGGGATGATTGGAAATACATACCTGAGATCCGTAGAATAAAATTGCTTTTCAATATCTAGCATGCGATATTTGAGGTATTATCTCGGTGCGACAAGATACATCTATAATAGATCAATAGATGTTGCACATTTTCTGCCAGGTGAATGGACTTGCCTCCAGCTTCAGGGATATAACCCCTCTTTATAAGTCAGGCCGTATACGAAGAAAAAAAAAATACAATAATCGAAGACATGAATAAATTCTCGCTGCTAATGTGCATTGGGAAACAAAGAAATCATTAAGAACGACTCCGCGAAATGCAACATGAGATGAGCCTGGAAAGTAAGCAGGTGCTCAGTTTCATGGCCCACATGATACGAGAATAAATCAGTGTGAGATACACTATGAGATAATCCCAACATCGGGAATAAAGCCTGGTACACCTCAAACCACTAGGAAGACACGTGTTTATCTTCCTCATCCTCCTTCTCTTTCTCGTTATTCTCCTTCTTTCCGTTCTTGCTCTTAGCCATCTCCTCTTTCTCTCGCTTATAACGTTCGAAATCCAGGGGCAAATGTGCAAGTCCACGGGCGCCAGTGCGTCGGATACGTTGTTCAGTGCGGGACATAGGTCGGTCCGGGGTATCAGGAGCGTAAGCGACCTCGTATCCACTGGGGGTGCGATTAAGTGTCAGACGGGGTGGTGAATAAGAAGTTGGCTGGGGAATGTTTCGGGCGTGATACTTTTCCAGGATCCGGGCAATGGGGTTCCAGTCTGGCTCATGCCATGGCTCTCGGATTCTTCCAGTCCAACCGTCGAAAATGCCAGGGCCGGTTCTCAACTTCTCGGCCAATATCCGTGCTCGGGATAGGGCAATCTCGTCCTCATCGACTTGGCGAGCCCGTTTCAGTCGAGCTTCCTCGATGTACTTTAGTTGTTCTTCGGTCAGAGGCCTCGGCTCGCACAAGGCCTGGGCTTGTGCAAGCTTTTGTTCCAGCTTTTCCAAGATCGGGAGCTTGGGCATGGGGCGGTTTTCGGCTTTGTAGACGGAGAAATTGAAAGGGACATATTCGTCCCCTGTAGAAAGCTTGGGCACCTTAGTACTCGGGCCTTGTTCCTCTGGCTGGGGCTCAGTCTGATCATCCAGCTCTCGCTTCTGTTTGGGGACTTTAGCCTTCTTGTCCACCGAAGACACTTGCGATTCCTGGGTCAGAGGTTTTTCTTTTTGGTCTGCCTCTTCAAAGTGCACAGACCGTTTGAATGATCCATCAGGCGCTGCAGCAGGAGATTTTCCTTTCAGCGATGAACGCCTCTTGTGCTGATTGTATGCATTTGCATCAGTGGACTCATGCTGTCGTTTCAATGATCCCTGCTGTCCTGATACCCCTGAGGATTCTGAGCTTTGGAACAAGGGCTTTGGCGGCTGGGTAATTGCCATTTTAGGCGAGTATGCATTCGATGTGGTATCAAATATTTTAGGCTGCCGCAGTGCTTCAAAGAGAGTTCGGGGAGATGAAGAGGCAGTCGCTTGAGTGTGCGAGACAGATCGACGCGTACCTGAAACTGAAGCGGAGCCGTTGATAGGATGTGAGCCAGGTGCGTGGGCCTGTGCAGGAACGGAGTGACTGAATATCGAAGTCTCACTCGGCTTGGGTAATTGGAGACTACCCGACGGTGGATTCTCGGGGGTGGGCGCAGTAGTTGCTGGGATGTCTGCTTTCTGACTTGGCTGCGATACCTTGGGAACTGCAGAGATTGAGCCAGTAGCTGGAAACTGGCTTGCAGCCGCGCTCGAAGACTCCGAAATGGTACTAGCATTGTTCACCGAAAATGGCCAGAAGGGCTGCCCGAAACTTGACGTAGTTGCAGGTTCCTTGCCTTTGATAGCTTGGAATGGAGATGGAGTAGCAGAGGTAACAGTGCTTCCCAGGCCCACAGCTGGAACAGATGATGGAGCGTTCGGAAGCGCGAAAGGATTGTTTAATGCAATCGATAGTTGCGTGGATTTGGCGTCACTTTTGGACGCGGTAGGCTGGATAGGGGTATCGACAGCAGGTTTTTCTATCTCAGTGCTTGCCTTTGGGAACATAGATGTAGGACCGAAGGGGTTAGCACCAGAGAATGCCGAAGGCGCGAATGGGTTCTTAGGTTCAGTCAACGATGCAGGAGGCAAGCTGCTGGGCTTGAAGAGTATAGATGGTGCGGTGGAAACCGACGCCGATGTCTCTGTCTTCTGGATTGGCTCTGGTGGCTTAGAGAAGGAGAATGGAGATGGCGCAGTGAAAGGGCTATTTGGGAACACAGAGGCGGATTTGTCTGCAGTCGACGATGCAGGAGGGAAGAAACTGGGGGTTGAAAACACAGATGCTGGAGGAGCTGTTACGGCTGTCTCCATATTGGGTTTTGCGTACGCCGGCTTTGAGAATATGGAAGAGGAAGACGTAGAGGCGAAAGCGGACGGCGAGGACCCAGCAGGGCCGATAGACGAAACAGCTGACTTTTCGGCGGTGTCAGGCTGAGAAGTAGGGGATTTTGTCTGGAAGGGCGAGGGTGTCATATTAGTGGTCAGCGCAGAGGCATCGGCCTTTTTGCTTGGCTCGGGTTCTTTTGTGGACAAGAATGGATTTGACGAAGAAGTGAAAGGAGACGGCGCTGCTGGCGTAACAGAGGCCGGGGGGATTGAAGCTGGGAATGGATTTGAGGGAGACGGCATTTTAGATGGCTGAAAGGCTGCTGCGAAAGGATTTGGCGGCTTTGGGGCGTCGGGTGGTTGGTTTGGCTGTAACATGGAAGGCGAACTTGCAGGAATAGATTGTAAAGATTTCTGAGATTCAGAAGCGATCCGGAATTCAGAAGCAGACGTGTCCTGAAGAAGGTTGTTGTGTATTTCAACCACAGGTGCGGGTGTCTGATTATCAACATCACTCACGAAGAGATCTCCATCTTCAGCCTCAGGCATGGTTTCACTCTTTTGAGGTATTTGGGAGCGATCAACCATGCCCATTCTTGCGGCTTCGCTGATGTTCATGCCGAGAATTATCGCAACGAGACTACGTCCTGCGCGCTTTGACTCCACGTAGGTCTCAGAGAAAGAGTGGTCAGATGAAGGTGCAAAATCTGGGAAATTGTAAGTCATAAAACAAAGAAAAAGGAAAATATCGTGGAATTGGCGCAATGGAGAGGAGTGAGGTGGGAAAGGAAAGGAAACGAAATTGGCTGAGATGAAGTTGTCGTTTGGCATCACTTACCAACAGAGTCTACTGGTCGATCGCCCCAATCAAGATAGAGTCCACCACTCGCGTTCTCCACAAACTGTAAGCTCTGTGCATTACAGTATTCAATTGTCTGCTCATCATAATCAAAGTGCAACACCTTGGTTAATTCTTCCACAGTCCAATGATCATTTTTGGATTGCTGTGACAGCGGAGTCCGACAGTAAGCTTTCCAGATGGCACGGATTGCTGTTTGACGAATGTGATTGAAGTACACCTCAGCCACGCAGGCCATCAGGTACGACACACTCGGGGAATTGATGATGTTGAAGAAGCGAGTGTAGAATCCTTGAGCAATTGCATTTGGTCGTCGAGAATCCAGCGCACCTTGAGGCTCCCATGTATTACAGGCAGCGGCAAAGAGTTCCAATGCCACCTGCACTCGAGGTGAAGCGAGTAAGGCAGCTGGCCATTTCTGGACACGGGCTTCCAGGTCAGGCCGCTGGTCATGGATAGAGAACAAGATGTGGTAGGCGCGGAACTCGTCTTCATTGGGGAAGTGAATACGCTCGCGATTATCATCGTAGTAGTACATAAGAGAGAGCATAGTGTTGTTGAGCTGCTCTCGCTCCTGGTGACGATCGAATTGCTCCGTGTTCGCCGGGTTAGAAAGAAGATGCAGAGACACGATATGGAACCGCGCAATTCTTTCTAAACAAATGACTGCGGTCTTCACATCTTCTTCGTGTGTAAGTTGCTGCACCGAGAAGTCGTTTCGGATTGATCGGGTTCGATTCCAGACAAACATGTGGATAACGGCCAACGATTCACCACCATTAATAACATAACGGATGAGATAGTTCATCGTTTGCAAAAGTGTCTTTGGTGTCCGGATATCTGAGGGCAACTGCTCGTCATTTCCAGCTGCTGCACGCCGAAAGCGTTTCACCATCTTGGTTTCCATGATTTCCAGCTGATTGGTTGACGGGTTATGATACTAATGTTCCGTTTCAGCATGTTGGCAAGAATAGCAATAGGCGCATCATTACCTTTTCGCACTTGTCGACCGCTTTCTGTACGATCCGCTCCACCCTCTCAAAATCAGGGCACATGCCGGTACAGGTACCCACGGGTGTGATGGCTTGGTTCAAAGAAGTCGGCTGGTTCGGATCTGCCATCTGGCCATCCTTGATCGCCCGTTCGCGTTGTTTCACTTGATCGATTTTCAGCTGCAAAAGTTGGTTAGCTCCGGTACCTTTGTAGTTGTTTGTCCGTTTTCGAGGAAGAGCAGACTGACTTTGTCAAAGCGTTCCTGGTAGGTGTTCAGCGTAGATGCATGCTCCATAATCGCGGTAGTATTAGATCCCCCGCCGATAAACTTTGTCGAGGGTTTTTGTTTCGTGTTCGTGGGTTGAGCGAATGGGTTTTTGGTGGTGTTCCCAGCCGAAGTGTTGTTGCTTAAGATTCTAGAAAACGGAGACTTCTGGGCGGGCTGAGCACCAAATGGTGATGCAACAGGTTTCTGTTGATTTGATTGCACAAACGGGGAGTTGACGATACCCGGCCTGGGGCCCTCTGTAGGTTGTTGAGATCCATTCCCGGTCTGGCTTACAGCGCCTGCCCCGCGACCACGGCCACGAGCTGTCCATGTCAGTGCCCCTCGTCCGCGCCCTCGAGCCCTCGTTGCGCGAGGCGCACCTGACCCTCGAGACACAAAGGTTGACGTATGTCCAGTGTTCCCACCTCTTCCCCGTCCCGTTGAGCCCTGCACGCCCGGCGCGCCTCCCCTGTGGCCACGGCCAGCAGAAGGATTAAACGGGCTAGCCATCCTGCCCGCAAAAAGCGGAATAAACTGGATAGGCCGCCCTCTCTTGGAAGAGCCCCACTGCTCGCTCTACGGTCAAGTTGACTTCAGACTTTCGGGTCGATGATTCTGATATGCGATGGGCGGCAAAGTCGATTGCGCAGAGATCTGAAAGGTGCTTTGCTGTTTGCTGGAGTCAGTGCGCCGAGGCGACAACAAAGAAGTCAGCCTATGTCACAAAGCCGCAAAGGGATGGCCAGAATGGCCCAATACTGCACAGGAAAGAGGCGGATCGATACCAAGAAGGCTGGAGAACAAAGCTAAAGACTTGAACAGGCTCGGGGATAGGTATTCGCACTACCTTTCAGTACTCACGGGTGTTTTCTCCTCGAAATGATGTACGGACGACCTTATGGACTTGCCGCCTTTGTTATTTGCGATGATTGGGATTGTTCAAGCTCGTGAAGCGTGCGGGCGGGCGCGCGTCGGAGTTTGCAGTAGCAGCGTGAACTACAAAGTCGACACTGGTTATCAGCCACGCAACGAAACCTGCACGGAAACAAAAGCCGATACAAGCCCGTATCGAGCACAAAGCGATTGAAGAGGATAGAACTGGAAGTTCCGCCGTGCTCACGGAGCTTCAAGCTGAGCGGAGTGGCTCCGCTTACTCCGCTGACCAAGCGCCTAAACGGGCGGGTGCGCGCTTCCAAGGCTGCGTCTAATTGGCCGCAGCCGAAGCAAGTCATTGAACTTCTCTGGTATTCCAGGGCCAATAGTACCAAAATAAGTATATATGCATTATTGACAATAGCTGTCATTAATGTTGTATCTATCAGCATATATCAAGTCCAGGAGCTCATGTCGGGACCTTGGGATTCTTTATTCATCTGAATTTAAGGCAGATATTGTAGCATCTGGAGCGACAGGGGAGCTTCGAATGTCTCAATATCGTATATTATAATAATTACAAAGCTATTGAGCCAGGGAAGAGTCGAAGGGAAAAATTGAAATTTGACACAGAAGTATATAAGACCAAAAAGGAATCATATACGGCTCACGCACGGCCCAACATTGAGCTGCATGTGTTGTTGAAATGCAAGAACTAGTTCAACGCAACTACTTGAATTTAGATACCTTTTCTATAGGATACATCCAAAAGGTACTTCAGAATGATTATGTACATACATACATGTAATGTTTAAACCTATACGGAGTATATCTCGACCATATCATTATTTTTGTACTGGATATACATGGCATTAAGTTAATATAGACAACGGAGTACATAGTATAGTAATGTAGAAGGCAAGTCAAAATAAAAGTGCGGTTTAGAGGGAAAATATTCAAAAGAATTTTGCATTGTACACTTCTCTATATGTTTTTAATCTTTCTATTTCATAGCAACAAAAATATTTCAAGATAAAAGCTACTTAGGTATGCTTGAAGTTGAGTAGGTAAGTATGTGACTACATTATTGATAGTTATTCACCTTATAACACATGGAATGATGTGGTTGAGATACATATATTACAATAATCCTGGGGTTGAAGTACCTTTTGTATATGTATCCCACTGAAAGCGTACCTAAAATTGAATATATATCTGTCTCGGGTCTTTGAGAAACTGGAGATTTACTGATTACTATGCCTTTTGTTGTTGCTGACCTCGGGATGTTTGCCTTCTACACCCTAGATACATATGTATCTCGAATGAGGACTAAGACCATGAGGCTAGAAAAAGATAAAAGGAGACCCGATTGCATATTATAAAATAATTTTTTTGAAATATCTACCCAAATCTCTTTTATCAACAGCTCCTAACATCCAAGTTGGAGAAAACCTATATAGACAACAAAAGCCAAAAAGATCAAGCAGATAAGCAGATCGACAAAAGACAAGAAAAAAAGCACAAGGCCAACACCCAGAAAGATAAAAAGGTGAAAACAGGCGAGACCATAAAAAATCAAAGAAGGGAGAAATCAGCGAACAAAACGAAAGACCGGAATATAGATCACTTCAAATCAAACAAAACCCAAGTATTTTCAAAAAAAGAAGCAAACAGACCCCATTTGTACCAGAACTTGTTAATGTGACCCCAGGCTTTTATACCACAATGAACACCCCCAAAAAAAAAAGACAACTCCCCTGGCAAAGCCTTATGATAAGCGCTAAGTTGTTTGACCTAAGCCATCACTCATATATGTTCGTAAATATCTATACCCATGTTCCATCATCGCCCCATGCCCCATTTATCGCCATTCGCTAGCCAAAAATCATTCGTGACAAAAATCCCACATCCTATGTCTTTAGACAGTGTGGGAGATCGTCATCCCATTTGGGTGTGGGTGGCCTAGAGATCCGGTGCGGAAAGGCAGGGATCTCTGGTGGAGTGAGTCCATTTGGGACTGCTGGGAATGGTGATGGGACATATCTTGCATGTGGGATACCATAGGCATCTGGTATGTCATTGAGGGCTGGTGCATACCCTGACTAGTAGCGGGTGTAGGGTAGTCAACAGGTGTGAAGACATTCTGGCGGAAAGACGGGGTCCAGGTCTCGTAGTGGCCGGCTACTCCCGCGCGTGAGTGATCAGGTGTGGAGTTTTGGAAGGTGTTGGAGTAGTCGAAGGCTGAGACGTCATGTGGGCCAATCATCTCTGCCGTCACGGGAGCGCTGAGCATGGGCTGCGAGAATGACTCTGTGTACTGGGGAGGTGTGGCGTAGTAGGGGCGTTCATGGCGGGTGGGGTGTTCGAAGTTGAGAGGCTCTGCCATGGAGAAGCTGCCTGGGAGGGAGCGAGCTGATGGAATGTTGTCGATTGGTGTGGTCAAGGAGGTAGTTGCTTGATCAAATGATGAAATTGGGGTCATCAATCCTTGGTTGAGGTGCTCAGGCTCCTCGATGCTCACTGAGGGTGCATCGGCTGAGTCGTCTTCTTCATCGCCCTTAGGGCTAGGGCCGCGGTTCATTGTGTAAACGACCATGTTGGCATCGACTTCACCTCGTTCAAAACGCTCCTCCATCTTGCGAACCCGGAGGATCTCGTAGATGATCTCGACATGGGATGCGTGCTTCAAGCTCCGCTTAGTGTCGCCAGCAACATCCTTAAGCTTATCGGCAGTAATACCGTAAGCACCGAGCTTACGGATAATGTGAAGCAAGAGCTCAATACGATCTATTAGAATTGAGTAAGCAATTAGATCAAGAATCAGAATATAGGTCAACCATACACTCTTTTCTCAAGTGATCAGGCTCCTTGTGCATAACACCGGGAGGCCACCACTCGGGCTTAGTCTTTTCTGGGTCACCGGTAGTACCGGGGGCAGATCCTGGCGGGGGCTTTCCGCCATTGTAAGGGTGTCGGACCTGCTTGCGAGGCTCGATGAATTTGATGAATGCCTTAGCAACCATACGGCAGTTAAGTTGTTGGAAGTGCTTTAATGCACCTTCATAGTAGCTCATGACCTTTTGGGCATCTCCAATGCGGAGAGGAACCATTTCGGTGGACCCGTTGGGGAAGTCTTCGCTGTCAGTCTCCTGCTCAGTCAGGCGGTCATCGCAGACAGAGAGAGCAGTAACGTTGCCCTTGCGACGTCTCACTCGACGAGGAGATGTGTCCATCGTCTCTGTATATCGGTGTCAGCATATATAATTCTTTATGGTCTGAAAATGGATTTTCAACATACGGCGAACAGGGGCATGGTAGCCGATACGTTCACCCAGAATCTCAAGGAAATTTTGGCGGACTTCTGCGGTGAACACAGTTGACTTTTGTTCTTGGATAGAGGATGATTCATCAACCCTAAGCTTGCCATCACGGTCAAGGTAAATCATGGCAAAGTGAGCATAAGGAGGACGGAATGATGCGCGGGAGTTGGTCATCATTGGCTAAACCGAATGTCAGCAAGAATAACCCCGGATTTCTCTTGCAGGAAAACATACAGGAACATCTCCCCATCCTGGGGGTCCTTCAAGCGCTGAGGCAGACCTCTTCATGGCTCCGCTTGTGGGGTTGGGTTTAACGTAGACCATTGTAGCGGGGTTAAATACGTATAGGTGATGCAAAAGCAGCTGGGGACGTAATCGTCTTGAGAAGGGTGATTGAGTCTCAGTCAAGATAGTGCATCAAGATACCAGAAACGAGAGTGATTTTTGTTCTGGCGGTTGCACGTTCAGAGAGACTGTTCTCTTTATAGATATTGTTGCCCAAGTGGCGGGGTTTTCGATTCTTGCGAATATGGTACTAACGCTGTAAGCTCGTAGTCAGCCAACTGTTCCTAGTATCTTCGGCAGCACCAGTCCGTCCCCGGAGAGGATGAACACCCAACGGCGGAATGCCCATTGCCGCTCCGGTACGGGAACAGGTAGGACAAACGCATTCCGAACAACCGGGGTCCAATCAAGCTCTTACAAACAGAGCCAGAAGAAACTTGGCGGGATGTACTCACAGAGATCGAGTTGACAATGTGCAGGTGTCTCAATGGGGGTGAAAAGCGGATAACTGCAGCACAGTAACTGTTTGTAACCCAGATGCAGGAACGAAAGGAAGCCTCCACTTTTTGTATTCCCAAGTAAACGAAAGCTTGACACGGGGGGGGTTGGGGCAGTTGAGAATGAAATATCTTGAGAAGGAGATGGTTGATCAAGTGGGATGTTCTTTTAAATAAAAGATCAAGGTGTATAGAAACCAAAAACAGAATACGAAGGGGATATGCAAGCCTATTTCAATTCCAGACTTTAATATGTAAATGACAAAAGGACGATAAAAAAAATATGACCAACAATTCAACATGGATGACCCTGGAAGCCATATGCAGCGAGATTGGCAGAATTCGGACATGCAGTAGCTTAGGCTTAGGGACCCCGATCCAGCACCCCTGTTCCCACTATTTGTAGATCTCTGGTATATTTACTCCGTATTTTCTATTTATTTTCTATTTATTCTTTTTTGAGAAAAAAAACTATCTCCTTTATTTGTATTTATATTTATATTATACATTTATTATTTCTTAAATTCGTATTAATTCATTAATTCAACTCGGGGCAAACCCCAAGAGTGGCGTTCATTATCGATCGACCTTCCCCCCACCACAAACAGGCTCATGGCTTGCTGTCAGTTCAAAAGACTTCAAGGGATCAGATCCCCAAATCATTATTGGTATACGAGGCAATGCTAGGCCTAGACCTAACAATTAGCAATATACTCCGTAGAGGTAAACCATAACACGAACCTATCAACCTTAGAAGCACTCGCGTCTAGCTGTCAGGCACACCAGAATTCACTCCATTAGGAAGAAAGCACTGGCCCTATTTGACGCCGTGTGCTATTCTTAATATGCAGATCGCAGTCCTTTCGGAGGTTCCGGCTCAAAAAGTAATTCGTCATTGATGTTGCGTTGAATCTAAAGAAAAGTACTCCGTACAGACTAAAACTGTATAGTGATGCCTCCATCATTATTATGTTACATTATATTACTTCTATTACTTAACTGTTAATTTTCAAGATTAAATATTATCTGTATCATTTTATGTTCTCGATCTTCGGATCTCAACACCAAAGTGCCCCGACACTAGCAACCAACCGGGTGAGTGAATCCACATTTCTCCATTATTCACAAACCTATCATAGGTGCGGCTTGTGCATGGCCCAACACCCTGGATCCTGGGAGATGACTCGCCGATAAACTGTCACAGTTTCCTTTTTGTCCCCGTCTAGAGCTTGTTGCCGCCGTCGATCTCCGTTCATTGACAGATACTCCGGGGTGACAAGCTAAAAAAAAAAGAAAGATAGAAAAGGGTTTCTAGAACCATAGACGTTAGCTTCAGCTGAGTATAGCGTAAACCCCTGAGCTCAGCCGTCAAATCTCGCCAAATGAATCAATATCAAATATGAGATATGAAATCAGTTGACGCGAAAGGGGAATCAAAAGTACCCTGCTAGTACGACCGTAGTTCGCTTGCCTACACCGTTTTACCCGCGGGGATAGGCAATAATAAATTCAAAAGAAATACAGAAATAAAGATAAAAATACAAAAGAAGAAGAAAGAAGAAAAAAAAAACACGCTCTAGGACAGATCGAGATACTAAAGTGTTTAAAATCCTAATACTACGGCGTGATCTACTCTCCCGGGGAACAAAATTGGTTGCAAAATGGTTCGAGTAATTATGCCACGGCGGGTTAGTCGCGTACTTTTTGACTTCCGGACCTTTTGTGACAACCCAATCAGCTGCCGAGGAGCTACCAACATTAACCCCGCCTGGGTCTGTGCTAAGAGTCCAGGGGAAAGGGACATCCGTACGGAGTACCCAGGATGCTGTCAACGCGTCCATCTCCCGTTCCGGTGGATTACACTGGCGTTTCTTGAGACGCTACAATTTATACTGTGGATCTTGAAACCATCCGGGACAAAGAAGTTCAAACCAAGTTAATGCTCAACCCCCCCCCCCCCCCCCCAAAAAGGGGGGCGGATGAGAGGATCTAAAATACTGTCATTTACTATCTCCTCTCTGCTATCTTGACACAAAAGGGGAATACACATGGACATGCTTTCTTGGTCCCACTATTCATCCACGCTATATCGGGGAAGATGCAAGAGGCAGAGCTTTTTTTATGATGCGCGAATAACTTCAATCTGATTGTGTACTTTGGGTATTGTATCCATCTGATCAATCTCATTTGAAGCAAACCACTGCCTTCTACTCCGATCTGGGCTTGTAACATTGCAATTGTCGTGCCGTCTACGGCAATACTATTAAACTGTACGGAGTAGTTGCTACTGCAAATTGAACATAATATCGTCCGCGAAGGCAATGTGGACCCAGCAAAATTAGATTTTTAGGTTGCCGCAAAGCACAGATAGAACAAAGCAGTGTCACCGAGCTAAACGATATACGACTTTCAGTATGGAGTCATTTGTTATTTTCTAAGGTCTTTCAGGGCGCAAAGCTCACAAAACCAGGCATACTCCGATACTTAATCCAACTAAATCGAACGGCTTCAGCGATGACATCCCCGGAAAGTGCTTCTCTTTATTTGTTTGTGCCCCGTTACCATCCCACCGGGTTTGCTTGCTTTGTCTATTTAGCCGCTGTGATTTTTTAGCGTGGAATCAAGTGAACTTCTCTAAATTACTACTAACTAGGTGCTCCGTACTGTTAGAGTCGAATGCTTTTCAAAAAAAAAAAAAAAAAGACCTAGTTACATTTAAAACCACGGATTACTCCGAATGTACAGACTGCGGAGTATGAACGGAGTACGGAGTACCATATTCAATATTTCAATTCGATTTGAATGGCTTGAGGGTCTAGACTTTAGACGCACCCCCTTTTTTTAAAGCATGTCTAAGATGATCAGTATCTCCTCTAGAGCATATGACACTTGCAAACGAAAGCTTCTTATTGGACCGCGCAAGAGGTTTACCTCAGGTACCTACCCAAACGCCCAGACCAGCCACAACGTGGCTCAGTTGGCTATTTTGAGCACTGCCACAGGGACATGGCAGCTGAAGAGGCAAAAAATATATATGCACTGTTTACTTATAAGGTACCGTAAAGAAGCGTTCGTGGATTTCCCCTCCCGGATTTTAATCTAAAGATGTTGAAACCCTAAGACAAACGTCAGATAGCTTGACAGCTTGGCATTGTCAATCCCTATTACACTAGTTTCAAATTTCAAAGCAAACATTTCATGAGCGCCAACTAATAATAATATATAGTGACCGCCATTGCCGCTTATTCCGTACACCAAAAAAAGAATTAGGGCGGAGATGCTCGGCGATGCAATCACCCTGAAACCTCAAAATGAGGCGTGGACTTGGTGTGCTCGGCCGACCCGGCGGAGATGTGACAATGGTTGTGCACTGACAGAAAGAGAGTAAATGGGTGGGGGCTAGGTCAAAAGATTGGGGGATGATGATGATGATGGAGATCTACACTTTCAAACACCGTCATGTCTGCATCTGTCCACACTTTGAAACACTTGGGAAAAGTTTCGGGCTGATTACAAGAACTGGGATGTCTCTTTGGCTTGGTTCACCGCTACAAAAGGGAAAGGGCTAGAAAAGTATACAAAGGAACCTCCGGGAGGCTTTTGTCGTACTTGAGGAAATTATTTCATGTCTATAGTTCACTTCAGAAGTCGTTAATCCAACAGTCGGTCTGGGACTCGGAGGGGTAGACATGTGGAAAGGGGGGGTGGGACTGTATATACAGAAATTTAGTCTGTTCGCAGAATATCAGCAAGCCTGTCGTTTCGACTGTGCATGATCGGTGTGCAAAGATACCATTGAGAGGCAAGCTGCCCTCATGATAGATAGATGGATGAGATGACAAGCAGGATATATTCCTAGTCGGGTAGGAGACAGCTCTACATTGGGACAAGTTCTCGTATTAGAGAAACGTCAGGACCTATCAGGCAAGTACTCTATTTGGATATTCGGGACACATACGGTAAGCAGAGGGACTAAAATGGCACATGACTAGTTCAGGTTATCGCGCAAACCCGCACTACCGCACGCAAGATCGATCAATGATGCACATCGATCGAGCAAGATCGGACCACCAGTGAGGTCACATTGCGTCACTTAGCATCCGTCCCCTTACCAGGGTGCTTGAAGGCCGGGGCCGATACCCCTCAGACTAAATTTCGTACCTTTTTTAGGTCTAATATTGGTAGGGGTGGATTTCATGGTCAGAAGGACAGTTGATCTCCACAGTTGTACTTTGGACATTGACCAGTAACCTGTCGAAGATGGCTCTTTTAGATACTGTGGAGCACTTTGGTCCCAATTCTAATCTCGCTTGGACCATGGGGCCCAGACTCGACCCGACTTGACCCCACCAAAAGCCACTGGATTGGGGCGGGCCGGGGATGGCGGTCCGGTAAAACTAAAGCTGTCAAACTCCAAATAAGGTATAGTGTATTATCCACTATCCCAAGGGAAAGGTCAAAGTTGGGGATCATAAAGCCTTTTGACTCTACCCAGTGGGTTGGAATTTGATTAAGATTCCAAGGATTGAACTTCGCTTTCAT